CCGGATTCCTGCCGGCTGCTGCGGCCTTGCCAGGGCCCCTCGGCAGCCCCCGGGGCTTGGCCGCCGGCCCAGGGACAAGGTTTATACCCGCAGGGATTTGGCCTCCAGTACCCAGACCCCTCATCCTCCCCTCGCCACCACGGTGGGCTCTGCCATGTCCTTCCCCGGGCTGGGGAAGATCCACCCTGCTCCATCATCCCCCTTCCCCAGTGCATCCCCCAGCGCAGCAGTCCAGGAGCTGTGTCCTGCTGCAGGTTCCCACCCGCCTTCCCCAGGGACCTGGGCAGCAAAGTGGAGGCTCAGTGTGGAGCAGACACCATCACCCCTGCACTGCCACCCCAAACTCCCCCTGCAGCCAAACCAAATGCTGCTCCATCCCACTGCCACCAACCAAGGGACCCACAGCACATAGGGCTGAGCCCAGATGCAGGCACCTGGCAGGAGGGGACAGGGGAGAAAGGGGACACTTCCCCCCCACACCCAGTCCCTTGCAGCACACTACAGGCACAGCTCCCTTCCCTCACCCTGTGTGTTCCACCCCAGAGCTGCCCTGCTCCCGGGAAAGCCAGTTTTTTGGAAGAACGTGCTTGACAACTTGGATTTAATGAGCAACGCGGCTTCCCTGCCCACAGAGGGACAGGAAAGGACACAGCTGGCACAGCTGGGTCAGCACTGCGTCTTCCTGAAGGCGTAGGGAGGGCAGGCAGGAGCTCTACAGCATTCCCAGTCAGGCTGCTAGGACCTTTCTGGGTTCCAGCTGGGCTCCTCGAAGCTGGAAACTGGGAAGGGAAGGAAGCAGCAGTGATCCCAGCCTTGGAACAGGTAAAGAGGAGGTGGGTAAAGTCAAGGTGCTGAAGGCCTGGTGTTGTCCAAGGTGGGGGGGGGGCAGCACTAGAGAACAGCTCCAGCTCCTGGGGGCTCTGGCAATGGGGAGCCCACCCCCTGGGAGCAGCAGCTCTGGTGAGGGTTGAACTGAGCAAACCCCACTGCAGCCACATCCCCCGCACCGTGACTCAGGCTCAGCTGAGCTCCTCCAGGAAGCCCTAGGGCTGCGGGGGGCTGTGATGGGGGGGCTGTGATGGGGGGGCTTTAGGAGACCCTGTCAAGGGCCTGTGTCTCTGTGGAGGAGGTGACAGTTCCAGGGACAGATGGAGGACACAGGGGGGGTATGGAGTGAGTGCTGCTGCACCTTGAGCTTTCGCCCCCGGCCGCCCCAGAGCTGTTCCACCTCCGCAGCAGCAGTTGAGCAACAAGGCAAACAGGAGACCAGGGAAGATCATAATCATGGTTTTATTTGTCATGATCCCACTGTCCAACTAATTGACTAGTTGCAAGTGACCCACAAAAAAATGGACTGAAGAGTTACTGAAACTTTTTTTTTTTGTTTTAGTCCAACATAAATGAGGAAGAAAAAAAAAATACTTCTGACATTTCCAAAAAACAGAAATAATAGCAAAGTATATTAATATACATTCAACATATACTGCGCGTATTGATTACTACAATACAAAGCAATGATAAAAAAAGTGTGATACTGCGAAATGGCACGGTTAGCGAGTCCCTGCTGTTGGGATGCCTGCTGGGGGGTGGCCTCGACTCTCCCAGAAATACAGTGTCATGTAAACAAAAGGAAAACAAACCCAAAGGTACAGAGCAAAAGGCTTCCCGTGTTTCCCGCTCTGGCCCGGCAATTCCCCCCCCCCAGCCCCCTGTGGAAGGAGCTGGAGGTGCCCTGGCAGAGCTGCCCAGCCCTGGGCAGCTGCAGTTCCTCTCCTCTCTGGTTTTGGGATGGCAGAGCCAGTCAGCACCACCTTCCCAGGACAGGGGAGAAGGGGGAGGCCGGGAAGAGGCGTGGGTAAGGATAGCAAAGTCACCTCTGCCGTGCTGGTTTCACACTTCCTTCTGTGCAAATTCAGGAGGGCTGGGTCGATTTTTTTTTTTTTTTTCTTAAAAAAAAAATTAATATATATATTCCAGAAAAGTGTCAGTAAGAACAATTTGAGCTGTAGCTTGTAAAGTCCCAAAGGCAATGATGACACCAAGTGCTCCCGAGCCCCAGCTGGGGGGGCTTCACGCTCTATCCGTTGAAGAAAGGATGGAAAGGAGGACAAAAATCTATGCACATCAGAACTGTATAAAGGAGAAAACCACTGTTGCCACTGGCACAAGAGAGAAAACCAGTCACAAGTACAATGTCATCAAAAGAAATAAAATACTTTCAACAAAAGGTGCAAGTCACAATTCATATAGAACAGAATCTAGTTAAAAATTTCTCTCAAACAGAAATTCCTTTTGCCTTTTATTAATAACAATAATAATAAAACAACATTTACCAAAAAAACAAAACAAAACAACAAACCACAATTCCTACATGATCAGGAGGAGAAGCCAAGAAAACAAAGGAGGAAAAAAAAATAATATATCTGTCTTCCTACATAAAGCCAGGAAAAAGGAAAAAAACCAAACAAACCCAAGTTGTATGCAGATCCAAAAAGAAAAGGTTGCTGGGGGCGGGGAAGGGATGATCCTTTCAGCACATTGACAGACAGAGAAAGAACAGAGCAGACAAAAATGAGACAAGAAGCGTATTGCACCAGGGGTGGCTGTTCCCCACCAGAGCCCCAGGCTGGGACACGGGGCTGGCACCGTCCCCGTCCCTGCCAGCGCTGCCAGGGTAAGGAGTGGAAGGGCAGCTTGGCTTCCAGGACCCCGTGGCACCCACTCCTCTCCCCGCTGGGGCAGGCTCTGGGTGTCAGTCCCATCCTCTGGCTGTGCCGAGGGCTGGAGCAGCCCCTGGGACCCCCTGGCCCTGGTGAAGAAAACCCCCCAAACCAGACTCAGCGCCCGTGAACCCTCTGCCGCCGTGTAGGACTCAGGGTCTCTGGTTATTTCCGTGGTAGCTGGAGTTACAGGCAAATATGGCAAAAAATTAAAGAAACCAAAGGAACAACACGCTGGATGAACTGATTATGAGGAAAGGGGCCATGGTATTCCAGTTAGTCAGAAATACTACGGCAATTTGGCGCAATGCTGCTAGATACTGTTGGTTTAAAATGGACCTTTTCGTTTCAAAGCTGTACAGAAAACCTGCAAGAGAGAGAAGAAGCAGAGATGTTAGGAGACAGCAGAGAACGGCAACTCTGCTCCCACTGCCCTCCAACGTGTTCCCAGTCCAAACCCACAAGCTCAGGAGTGAGACCCCACTGATGTGAGCGGGCTCTGGACGTGCAGAATGGCTGGGAATGAACAGGGGGCCACCCAGAGAGCTCAGAGCGAGGGGACAGGGAAGGAGACAAACAAAAGCCAGGCCAACAGGCCTTTGGGTCTGCCCATCAGGCAACCCTCACAGCATGCTGCTGGGAAAAGGAGAACACTGGAATACTCACTCCCTCCTGGTTACACCCCTGCCTGCTCCATCCCAAAGGGCACCTCTGGGTGCTTGTAGCTCAGTAGCACGTCTGTAATACATGTCGATGGGTAACAGGAGGTGTTTAGATGCTGGTTGCCATCACCTAGGTTGGGATGCTCTTGACCTTCCAAACTCTCCCCGCATTCTGCAAGGTAAAAGAACACCAGAGTTTGCATGAGGAGGACTGAGGAGTTACAGCTCCAGGGTGTTGTGGGGCCAGCAGCTGCCATGGCTTCAGGGGTCACATCACAGGCAGAGCAGCCCCGTGCTTCTCCAGGCAGCCTAGATCACCACTCCCACCACCCGGGCTCTGACCAACAGTGACACCCGAAGAGCTGCCCTCCATCAACACACCCGCCTGCTGCAGGGAGCTGCTCTCTTGGAGGAGAGGTGGCTTTGGCAAGCTGGTCCTCTCTGCTCCTGGTGCAGCCCCTGCTCGGCCCCCTGGCTGCAGCCTGGCAGGCCTTACCCTCGCTCTCCCTGTCGCGCAGCTGCTGACTGGCCATCAGTGACGACTGGCTGAGCACAGCATCAGACATCCGAGCAGAGCTTAGTGCTTTTCCTGCCATTAAACTCATTCCAGGCAAGTTATCTAACTGCACCTGTGGAGACAGCAGGACACAAGTCAAAGGGGGCTCAGGATGAGGGACCCTGCTGCTCTTCCAGCTCTGTCAGGCTACCCAGGGAGCTCCTGTCAGCCTTCAGCCAGAGATTCCAAGTACAAGTTCAAACTGCACCAGGTGCAGCCCATATCCCCTCAACACAAACACAGACTGGACAGTCCAAGTCCCTCCCAGACCTACACTGAGCTAACTGGGGAAGAGCCCTTCTCATTTATAGCAGTGAGCTGCAGTGAAGAACGCAGCAAGATTTGGGCAGGAAATTTCCCAGCAGCCCAAAGCAGAGAGGAGGCAGAGCAGTCAAGGTGCCACAGCCAGCTCAGGACCAAAGCTGGGCTTGGTGTGCCTGCAGAGCAGGGCACTGCCTTTCCCCCATGGCACCTTCTCCAAAACCCACACACACAACAGCAGCTTTGTGCTGCCCCAGCCCCACCAGGCATGGGCTCCTTCCAACCTACGTAGGCATCATCACTGTTCTGGATGGTGTGATGTCTCTGCAGGGCCCGGGGCCGGGGGTGCTCGCTAGAGGCAGGACGCACGGGGTAGCCCAGTCCGTTGTGGTCAGGCACCTGCATGGCTTGGCTGGGGGAACTTCTGTCCATACAGTTCCCTACGATGGACTCTTGAAATCAGACAAGGCAGAAAAATTACAGATTAGTTCAAGGCACCCGCAGCTCTTGGTGACACGTGCCACTGCAGAACAGTGGCTCTGAGATGTGACAGGATGAAGACATGCTCCTCACTGGCCAGGTGGGAGGGACCCCAGGGTGATCCTGCTAAAGCACCAGGACCCCCCAGATAGCACTGAGGCAGGCTTCTCCCTGCAGCAATGAGATCCCACAGATCCCAAAAGATCTAAAGGTCTACAAAAGCAGCCTGAAGTTGGAGGGGCAGGGGCAGCAGAGCAAGGAAACCAACCCCTTTCTGCCTGCCTCCCAGCACTGCTGCCTTGCCCTCACCCTCCTGCCTGTGCTGCCCACATCATTACACAAGAGCAGAGGGAGAAGATTCTCCCCAGCCTCCAACACAGGATGTTCTAGCAGGGCCCCTTGGCAATTGCAAGCAACATAATCTCACTGGAAGAGCTGGCTGGGATCTTCGCTTTTATCAGATGACTTCTCCCTGCCCCCCCTACAATCTGGCTGTAGGAGTGCATGAGTGTTCTCCCTGGCAAAGTCCATCTGCACTGCAAGCTCTTATGACCGAGGGTAAAGGCTACATTCCTATCAAGCAAAAGCTCTTGTCATCAAGTACAAGATGTTTTGGATAAAGTCCCAAGGCATGGGGGAACCTATCCCTGGGCCTGGTGCACGTAAACAGCTCCCTCCCAGCAAGTAGCCCGGCAGAGCACAAACATGTGGATGTGGCCACAAGGACTGGGGAGCTGCCCTGAGGTGACACAGCTGCAGGTAGATCCCCTGGCCAGAGCGATCAGCTCTGTGGGGGTTTTGGCCAGTGGGGAGGCATCTCCTGCTGTTCTGGACACACCTCCTGGCTGGGACTGCAGCCGCGAGATGCTGGGAAGACGCTCCCCAAAAGACCTGTCCCTGAAATCACCTGGATCCAAACCATACCCCATCCCAGGCTCATTCTGCCACCCAAGCTCTCCATGCCACTCCTTCCAGGCATGCCAGGACCTGCTCTACATGCCCTCCCTCCCTCCAAGACAGGGCAGCCCTGCAGGAACCCCCTCCTGGGGCAGCTGGAGTTGCAGCCAGCCTCCCCCTTCCTTTGCACAACCCTGGGGTTACGTGCGGTTAAAGACCTTCCCGGAAAAGCGAGAAGGAAAACATGAGGTAACAGATGTTGGCGGAGCTGTGCCACCCACGCACCGCTCAGGACACTGCTCCAGCTGTTGGAATGGCTGCTGGGACCAGCTTCTCCAGCTCCACAAACAGCCCCAGGGCTCCCACAATGAGCCCCCACTGCAGGTGACCAGGGCACAGGGGGATGATTCCCCCTGACCTTGAATAGCCCTGGCCCAAAACCAACCCCATGCTTCCCACTGCCACCATGGCGCCTCTGGGGTTGCAGCTCGGCCTGAATTCCTGCTCCTTTCCTCACCCCATCCCTGCCCCAGCAGCAGAAAACCTTTCATCCCCACATCCATAGGGGACGGAGCTGCTGTGCCAGGTGGCCTTTGTGTCAGGGTGGCATGTGACACTGGCACAGCGGCAGGGCCACCATCGCCAGCTCTGCTCCTTCAGTGCAGGTTTCCCATGGGCAGCATTCCCAGCCCTGGGATGGCCAGGCTGGAGCAAAACCGGAGCAATGCCATTAAAAGGTGGCTCAGTCATGGATCTGATGGATGCTCTCACACTCTCCAGCTGTTGTGGTCAGGCACCTGCATGGCTTGGCTGGGGGAACTTCTGTCCATACAGTTCCCTACGATGGACTCTTGAAAATCAGACAAGGCAGAAAAATTACAGATTAGTTCAAGGCACCCGCAGCTCTTGGTGACACGTGCCACTGCAGAACAGTGGCTCTGAGATGTGACAGGATGAAGACATGCTCCTCACTGGCCAGGTGGGAGGGACCCCAGGGTGATCCTGCTAAAGCACCAGGACCCCCCAGATAGCACTGAGGCAGGCTTCTCCCTGCAGCAATGAGATCCCACAGATCCCAAAAGATCTAAAGGTCTACAAAAGCAGCCTGAAGTTGGAGGGGCAGGGGCAGCAGAGCAAGGAAACCAACCCCTTTCTGCCTGCCTCCCAGCACTGCTGCCTTGCCCTCACCCTCCTGCCTGTGCTGCCCACATCATTACACAAGAGCAGAGGGAGAAGATTCTCCCCAGCCTCCAACACAGGATGTTCTAGCAGGGCCCCTTGGCAATTGCAAGCAACATAATCTCACTGGAAGAGCTGGCTGGGATCTTCGCTTTTATCAGATGACTTCTCCCTGCCCCCCCTACAATCTGGCTGTAGGAGTGCATGAGTGTTCTCCCTGGCAAAGTCCATCTGCACTGCAAGCTCTTATGACCGAGGGTAAAGGCTACATTCCTATCAAGCAAAAGCTCTTGTCATCAAGTACAAGATGTTTTGGATAAAGTCCCAAGGCATGGGGGAACCTATCCCTGGGCCTGGTGCACGTAAACAGCTCCCTCCCAGCAAGTAGCCCGGCAGAGCACAAACATGTGGATGTGGCCACAAGGACTGGGGAGCTGCCCTGAGGTGACACAGCTGCAGGTAGATCCCCTGGCCAGAGCGATCAGCTCTGTGGGGGTTTTGGCCAGTGGGGAGGCATCTCCTGCTGTTCTGGACACACCTCCTGGCTGGGACTGCAGCCGCGAGATGCTGGGAAGACGCTCCCCAAAAGACCTGTCCCCGAAATCACATCGATCC